TGTGGGACGAGTTACTGGGAGGACGTTGGACGGTGAGGCTTTCTGGCCCTGGAGATCTAGGTTTGAATTTCAGCTCTGCCACTGACCAAATGACCGGGGCCAAGTCACTTCTCCTCCTCTGAACTTTAAAATGAAATTGACACCTCCTCGAGCTGTGGAGAGATCTTGGGAAAGTGCTTTATAAACAGAATAACTGGAGGCAATGGAAAGAAGCATTATCTGCAATAAAACAGGTCTGGATTCAGTTAGAAAAATACTGTGCATCTGCTGTGAGCCAGACACTGTTCTGGATGTGGGAATGTAGGAACCAATAAAGCAGACAAAATCCATGTTTTCCTGTAGTTAGCATCCTAGCATTCCAGTTTCTGAGTTATTCATCCATTCATCTACAAATAGTCTTCTGGTACTACTATGTGCCAGGCACATTCCTAAGCAGTGGGCACAGAGGGACTCCAACATGGCCAGAGCACAGGAGCAAGGGGAACAGGCTGGGTAGGGACGTCGTCAGACTTTGTGGGGCCCGAAGCAAAAAAATGTACGGTATCCTTTTCTTTTCTTTCTTTTTTAAAATTAATTGAAGTATAGTTGATTTACAATGTTGTGTTAGTTTCTGGTGTACAGCATAGTGATTCAGTTATACACATGTATGTTCTTTTTCATCATAGGTTATTACAAGTTATTGAAAATAGTTCCCTGTGCTATAGAGTAGGACTTTGCTATTTATCTGCAGTATTCTTTTCTTAAAGAAAAAGAATACAAAGTCATAAACACAGAACTAGGTTAGAGAGGGAATTGTTTTTTAGAATGATAGAAGAAATAACAATAAATAAGAAAATTTTTAAAGCTGACAAAAACAATAGAATCTTGAAATATAGCATCATATTTATATTAATTAGCTACACGATATGGCTCTATAATCATTTTTTCTCTACATGTTTTGCCCTGTGTTCTTTGACTGTATGGTCATAAGACAATGATTTTGTTGTCTATCTCATATTGTCTTTTGGGGGGGTAATTAGGTTTATTTATTTTTAATGGTGGTACTGGGGATTGAACCCCAGGACTTCATGCATGCTAAGCACAAGCTCTACCACTGAGCTATATTC